CGTGGGAGCCGATTGACGGCTCCTGATTGACTGCCCGAAGGCTGTCGCAATCTGGGAACAGAAGCGGCGGCAGCTTCATAAGTAGTCCGGGGCTTCTTGCCCGAACGGGGTACGGATGATGAATACATACCGTACCCGCGCTCATCGTGAGCGCTAGAAGCCGCGCGCTTCAGGATGTCCCTTGGCAGCATACGCTTGCTGATCAAGTGGGCAAACCTCACACGAAGATCACGCTGGTCCAGGATGTGGGACAGCTGCTGATCTTCATGGAGTTCCCATAACTCCGTGGGCGAGTACTTGAGAGTCTCCACCCACGCCCAGAACATGTCCTCACAAGAACTCCATGTGGGACAGTTCTCGGGCATAACCCAGGGGTATCCCCAAACAGGATAGAGACCACCCCGGGTCTCGGGCTTCTTACGACAAGTCGTGAAGTCCTTAAGGGGAATGCGGTGTGGCGCGAGAAGCACACACCGAGCAGCCTCCACGTTGTCGACGAACAACTGTTCTTTCTGAACAAGGGCTCGTTCATAGATGCCCCTAGAAGTGTGGCCGCCCACAAGGCCACGAGGAGCGACGAGAAGCTCTAAGAAGAGGTCAGCCCCAGAGCTCTCCTCGGGAGGCCAATACCCTCTTGAGTTGATGGCAGCTCCCTGGCTGACGGGTGCCGCCACCGAACCCCCACGCACACGCTGGGCAGCTTGGAAATCCTCCTGCTGCTGGTCGAGGTCATTCGAGACCTCCCGGGGCTCAACAATGGCACCCTCCTCTTCCTCTTCTTCCTCCTTCTCCTCCTCTTCATCCGAGGAGCCGAAGAGACTCTGATAGGAGCGTCGAGTCTCCTTCTCCTCGCGGAGTGGAGACTTAGAGGCGGTACGCTTCTTTGAGGGCTTGGCGCCTTCGGCTTTAGAGGCCTTAGCGCGCGCAAGACCCTCGGCAAGCGAGAGACGTTTGCGAGGACTCCCTTCCTCATCGCCACCGGCTTTGGGAGTGCCCTTAGCCTTAACGGCCGGACTCTCAGAGCGCACAGAGGTCCTGGGACTGTGATCACCGTGATCACTAGCGGACGACTGCACGCTGTCTTCTTTGTGCTCACTGGGCACTGGGCTGTGCCCTCCCACAGAGCCCGCAGGAGCATCATGAGTGCTCTCGGACTCGGCATCGTCCTCACTGCCCGAGTTGAACTCACGTTCTACGAACCGAGGGTTCGGACGATTGTCTGAAGACGAGGGCGACGGACTGCGGCGCCTGCTTGCGCGCTTGTCCGCAGCCGCGTCACCCGAGGATCCGATCGCCTCGGAGGCCACCTGAGTAGCCTCCTTAAGTGCAGAGCCTTTGCCGTGAGGCTTAGTGCTCTTGGCCTGCGCCTTACCGGCTGCAGCCTTGGAGCGTGTCTTAGCACCGCTCTTAGCAGTGCCACGAGGCATGTTAACGGTCGAAGTGGAGACCTTGACGAAGAGCGCACAGGTTGCTGCTCGAGGCTCTAACTGTAAAGTGAGCCTCCGCCGCGCTCGCGCGGCCGAGTCGATGGTTTTCGACTTTGAGAATGAGAGTTTGTGACGAACATCTCTTCATTCTGATTGGTCGGTACACCGAACCTAAGTGGGGGAGGATGTAACGGGGTACGTAGCACTAAGTGTACCCTGGTTACATGAAGTGTGACACTTCACACTTCAGGAGTATGACATGTCATACTCGGGGATATTTGGTACAAGGTACCAAGGTCATTCAAAACCAACCATTGTTAAATGACATTGCATTTCTATAGGTAACTGATAGTTTGTATTAACCTCAAACTTAATCTACCTATAAATATACTCAGTTTACAATCTACCTTATTTAGGTCACTTCGCTCTCTTTAATTAAAGAGGGGACCTGTGAACTGCCGTTCACTGAGAGTTTGTATACTCTCGGAAGATAACTTCCTCTAGCGCAAGGTGCTGTGTGACCCCGTCACAGTCGCTGTGGCGAGTGGAACCTTGGCTTACACCGTCCCTGAATCTCTCAGAAGTATGGTGCTTCGACTTTTCTCTTCGTGGGCTAAGAAGCTAAGACTTTGTATTTCGCGCTATTGCAGCTATGTACGCAGTCCTGCCGTACAAGACCAGCTCTAGAAGACGAAATGACGGAAGACCTATGAGGCCGTTTTTGGCTACTCCTATGGTGGTGCTCACTGCGAGAAAAGAACCCTTAGACGGTCTAGGGCGTCTATTGTACGAGTGGTTGGACGCCTTGCATGCGTACTGGTGTGTGTTCTTACCTGAGATGGTGACATTGGTGTGGAAGACGACAGTGAAGTATTGGTACGGTTCTGGTGTTGAGCTCCAAAGAACGTGGGCTCGAGCATGGTTCGTTGTGCGTGTCTGGTGGACAGTGGTGACGCTGATCGTCTACGCTACTTTCTACGGAGTGCTGTTTTTGTACGAGATCGTCGAAGGTGTTTGTCTAGGCTGGCCTGGAGTAGTGGTCTTAACGGTGACGACGAATTACAAGTTTGCGAGTAATGAGGGCACCGTGGCGTTTGGTGGGGTCGTCGTCAACTGTGAGACTGTACTACTCGACGGGTGCGTCGTGGTGCTAGGCGTGGCTAGCCATGTGTGGCGTTGGTACGAGTATACGTCGGAAGGACGTTCGCCGCTTGCCGTGGCCCAGGACTGCTACGACGGTTGAATCCGTTATATGGAGGAACAAGAGCAAGCTGACCGTCTTAGCGAGGCATTCTGGCGACCGGGTGGAGGTTCTGTGGAGACACCTCGACAACAAGTACGCACGCTAAGTGGGATACAGGCCAAACGACGCGCTTTGCGAGCTAAGATGAGGGATTCGGAGAAGGAAGGCTTTGCTAGACGAGTTCGATGAGGGCGCCGAGATTCAGTCGGGAAGATGTCCCGAGTGAGAGCGGTGGCAGCCGTCTTGGGCACGGTTCCCGTTCCCCCTCTGGGGTGACCTGCGACCCGCCACTTGAAGTCGTACGGCAAGAGGATGAGCGGCCGTCAGGTCGCCCGAATCAGCTCTGACATTGTCGGATTCTATTGCTCGAATTGGGGCCTGACCCCGTCGCATCTGGAAAGGAAGCTACTCTACTTGTTGAGTACGTCGTCTGAGGTGCTGCTATGGCTGAGGTACTACCTGTCGTCACTGTGATGTGCAAGGTCCCTGGGACGGACGACACGGACTACGACAATACTGGAGCGTACGCGAAGGACAAGGAAGCGAAGGGAGGGACGTCACCGGCAGCAGTTTACCCAAGGACGTGCTGACGTGCGGCTCGACTGAGTAGAACTACGGTACGGGTGACATTGTTAGCGAGGTGAGTTTGGTCAGTCGTGAATTTTGCTTGGAAACCCCGAGTTGACTTAAAACATTTGGCTTTATATTATTAATATTGGTATTTGTGTCGACTTGGATTACTACGTTTTACCTCGCACAGTCGGAATTCGACATATAGATTGTCATTATAAAACTAAAACTCCATGCAAAACTTAACAAGTGCAAACAGATACTCAGCACACCTACAATGACGCGCCCAGATGGCGTTGCCGCTTCCGCGGGGGAAAGTAGAAGTTCCAGTTGCCGCGAAAAGCGCTTGGAGATCTTGTACATCTTCCATCGTTATACACACTCCGGGATCGCGAGATTTGAGTAGGAAAGCCGCTCGTCGACGGGTGCACGCTCCGAGAACGATGAGCTGCGGATCGCACCTGAGGTGGTCCGTACTTGTTGTTTTGAATAACTTGAACGTCGTCTCGGGGGAGAGAGATGTCATGCTTTCGCTTTGTATCCCCTCGCAGCACGGACGGTCGATGTTTCGATGTTTTCGTGATGTACGCTTCAAGCTCTCGCACCATCGCAGGTGTTCGCTTCTCCGTAACCCGGCACGAATACTGGCTGCGATTCTTATGGGTGCTACCCATTTTAGTGTCGATCTCAAGATATTTGCAGTGTCGATACTTGTGGTTGTCTTTGAGGCAGTAGAAACAGAATGAAACTACCTCACGAGCCGTCTTTGCCATGGGCGGCTCACGACAACTCTTGGGTGTGGTGTTCTCTCGGGGTTGAGACGGTTGAGAGCTATGGCGAGTATTAGCGTGTGCCTTTGTCTTTAAAGGGTCAGAGCTATTGTGCCAAAGCTTCTCCTCGGCGATGGCCTTCTCTTCCAGCTCTGTGGTCGGTATGAACGGTCTTTTGCCGCGCCAGGACGCTAATGTAGATCTCCACTTCCTCGGCAGTGTGCGCTCCAACATGGCAGAGCGGTAGGAGTCCGTCGACTCAACCCCCGTAACGTGCATGAATTCGCGTACTGCCATTCTCCATCGCGTTAAAAACTCGTGCATAGGCTCACCCTCCTTGTCACCATACCACATGTGATCCAGCACTCGATATTTCTCCGCGATAGTCGAATCCGTGTCGCTTTCGTATAATGCACGCAGTATACCCCACACGTCGAACACGCTTTTGTTGAGAACAGCAGCCTCGATATCCTCATGCAGAGAGCGCTGCACAATGTGCATGGCCTCTGCAGCTTCTTTCACTGCGTCAAATTGACGGAGTCCGTCAGGATACTTCGCTTCGACGAGTTCGCCTTTGAAGTTGAACGACTGGCTCCCGTTGTAGCCCTGCACCAACACGTATCCTAGCAATCCATCAGCTCGTTCTCCAGTCGAGCTCGCCAGGCACGGAAATTGTTAGTACCGTCAAAGATCATTGCGCCGTGGTTATTAATACCAGTGACATCCACCATCGGCACGCAATAGCAAAATGAGCGAATTCGCGGTCAAATTGCTTCGGCATGAGATTTCAACCAATCAGCAACTTTTTTTCAGACCAATAGCGCATTTGACGCTTGCAGCCATGGCTGATGCAGTTCGCGATGGTGACGACGGCCGCGAAGTGGGAGACGACGCAATGTGGTCACTGTCTTCCGCCAAGCCTGGCAACGGCGTGGACCAGCTGCGCGACGGTGCGAGCTCTCGCACAGTTTATTGAATTGAAGAGATTAAGGAGGATGGTACTAACGGCGGTGTCCCTGTTGGCAGACAATATGGACACGTACTGGCAGTCGGACGGTGTGCAGCCGCACCTGATCAATATTCAATTCGCCCGCAAGATGGTTATCAAGGAGGTGGCGCTGTATCTGGACTACAAGCTGGACGAGAGCTATACACCCAAGAAGATCGCTATCCGCAGTGGCTCCACGGTGCACGATCTCAAGGAGATCCACGTACAGCACATTGCAGAGCCCAGCGGCTGGATATCCATTCCGTTGCACGCGGACGAAGTATCGGAGCAGGTTTGATGAGCTGGCTGCGGTGGTTTCTACCGTAGGCATTTGCTGACGGCGACGCTCGCTGCTGTTTCTGCCGTGGTAGGCTCCACTGCGCACGTTTTTCTTGCAAGTCGTGGTCCTTGCCATGCACCAAAACGGGCGCGACACACACATCCGACAGGTGAAGATTTACGCCCCGCGAGAGACCAACGTCCTCGACTGGACCATCCCGGAGGCCACCACGCCGCAGTTCGCTGCGTTCTCGTGCATCCGTTAGCGGCTGCGTGTCCTACATATCCCATATATCTTTCCGCGTATTAATAGCGTTAATTGCGAAACATCATACCGATCTCCAACTTCATTGATAAATCTAAAGCACAACAGTCATTCGCCGAAGACGTCAGGCCACCACGGACGACTGCTTTATCGAAGGCGAACGACTCGCAATTTAATTCGACGGCGATTGTTCTCGGTAATTTGTTTGCAGCGCCGCGTTCTTGAACCTGCAATCGGCACCATGACAGTTAGTACAATACCTTCGTGGCAGCCGTTTCGTTCGCTGCACGTACACGCCGTTGAAGATGCGCGTCATGGAAGTGACCTCCTCATCCGTATGCACCATCTTCTCCACATTCTGCGATAACAGCGCGATGGACGCATGCAGCTCCATCATCTGCGCCGCCAAGTCCGCGTACGCCTGCACCTTCTCCTCGTCCATGAAGTTTTGAGCTACATGTATACAGCAAAATAAAGTATACATCCTTACCCACATTTTTTTCCGGATACAACCGGATGTCATTTTCGATGCAGTGGTCACCACTCACTCCATCAATTCGCCTTGATCGATGAAGGACGGAGATGATTTCCGTCTATCCAAGGCGGCCGAGAACCAGTTGGCGCGCACATTGCGCAATGAAGAAAGCGGGCGTACGCGGCACACAGGCCGCGACGACCGTGCTACGACGGAACAGGTGCTGGACCCGCGCACTCGAATGATTCTGTACAAAATGCTGAACCACGGCATTGTGACGGAGATTAACGGTTGCTTAAGCACGGGAAAAGAGGCCAACGTGTACCATGCTCGACTACCTGATGGCCGCGAGGGCGCCATCAAGGTCTACAAGACTTCTATCCTGGTCTTCAAGGACCGTGAAAAGTACGTCTCGGGCGAGTTTCGCTTCCGCCACGGCTACTCCAAGAGCAACCCGCGCAAGATGGTCAAGCTCTGGGCCGAGAAGGAGATGCGCAATCTACGCCGCCTCCGAGACGCCGGCATCTATTGTCCTGCGCCCATTCTGCTGCGCTCGCACGTGCTGCTCATGGACTTTATTGGCCTCGACGGCTGGGCTGCCCCACGCCTTAAAGACGCCAAGATCAGCGACAATCGCTATCGAGAATGCTATCTCTATTGCATCAAGATGATGCGCACCATGTATCAGAAATGCCGCCTCGTGCATGGCGACTTGAGCGAGTACAACATCCTGTACTACCAGGCCAAGCTTTACTTCATTGATGTGTCGCAGTCTGTGGAGCATGAGCACCCGAGTGCCCATGATTTCTTGCGTAAAGATTGCCGTAATATTGCCGATTACTTCCGCAAGACTGGAGCACTGAACCCCATGACGACACAGGAGCTGTTCGACTTTGTCACGGACCCGCGCATTGCTGACGAGGACGTGGACGACCATTTGGAAGCGATTCAGCGCATGATCGCTGATCGTCCTGTGGAGCGTACGAATGAGGAGCAAGTGGACGAAGCAGTGTTCATGAGCACATTCATCCCTCGCTCGTTAGGCGAAGTCCTGCACTCGGAGCGTGAGCAGCTCGCATATCAAGAGGGAACGATGGAAAAGGCTTTGGTGACGGCCATCTCGCGCCTCGAAGTCGAGCAGGGAACGCCGTCGGCTCCGGCCACGCAGGGCACGCGAATCATGGATCTCTTGAACGAGGAGGATGACCAGGAGATCGTTTCTAGTGATGACGATGATAGCGATGAAGGTGCTCCAAGTGAGAGCGACTTCGACAGCGACTACGATGACGAAGACGATGCAGAAGTATCACCATTGGGGAAAATGCCCCTGACAGACGAGCAGCGAACTGCGTATAGGCAAGAAAAGCGTGATGAACGTGAAAAACAAAAGGCAGAAGACAAGCTGAACAAGAAGGCGCGCAAGCAGGAGACCAAAGAGGAAAAGAAAGCCAAGCGGCAAACAAAGATCCCAAAGCACGTCAAGAAGCGCCACAAGAAGCTGGCGCATCAGAAGAAGAAAAAATAATTCTCACCAGCGGAGGAGGACTTTGTTGTATTTTGACCATCACTTCATCCCTGTAGATCCATTATCGTGCGGCTTGGCAGAAAAACATACAGTATTCCCTTACTGCGTCAATGCTTCAGCAGGAGTCGCCTGGCGTCCTTCCATCTGCTGATTTTGTGACTGCTGCTGCAACAGGTCAGTGCGTGTGGATCGACCACCTCGCAACATTTCAGCAGCCCAGCGACCAATCTTGCGTCGGCGCTGATATCATGATCACAATGAGTCGAGGCGTGTTAGCGTGTTTCATCCTACTATTCGAGAACAACCCCGATGTTCGTGTGCTGACGTACGTGGATGTAGACAGCAGCAGTTCCCCAGCTCATCGTGAAGTTCAGGCTCTTAACCACTTCGAAGAGCCCTGTACGCAGCACGTGTGTCGTCGAAATGAAAAACGAGCCCTGCTTGATCTTCTCGGCTGCCCGAGAAATCTTGGTCCACTCCCTAGACAACATAAAGCGATAGTAGCATGTAGACATCGGTTCTGTAAGCATGAGTCTATGTGAGATGACACTCAGTCCGAATTCGTACTCGTCGTTGAAGCACGTGCCGTGACAGAAGACAACATCTCCATCCTCCCATTTGGTCGTAAGCAAATCGCCTATCATAAAGTCGATGTCTGTCTTGAGTAGTGGGGACTTGAGTTTCTCTAAGGCCGTCTTCCGCTTTTCAGCACAATGAGCAAGCGGCTGCGCAGAAGAAGAATTCTTCCGTTAAAAGAGTCAAACCTCAAATACGGTCAGTGTGAGACTTGCTCACCTCAAGCAACTCGATTCCAATAGCCTGATCAAACGGGTGCACCAAACTCGCTGCGATGACCGCCTTGCCCGTACCCGATCCCTGTGACGCATAGCACGGCAACGGCTCAATTCGATATCACATGTTCTTCATTGCAGCAAACAAAAAAAAACTCACCAGGTCGTAGAAAATGGCAAAATCCGGCAGAAAGGGAGCCACCCAGCGGATAATATCCGCAAATGGGAAGAAGAGGATCTCACCGTACACCTACAGCATCAACTATGCACCATGACAGTGCCAGATAGGGACTTCACATCGAGCACGAAGAATGAATCACTCACATAAGAGGTTTTGATGAGATTGGAGCTCTTCCGCGCCTCGTTCGACAACTCCTTGGCATACTGCGCATTTTACCACCCCATTAGCAGACTCGACCAATTGCAAACGGAGCAGCTTAGGGACCGACCTCGGCGCCAAAGCCACGGTATGTACGCTCAAATGCTGCAAAGGGCTTCTCGAAGATCATTCCCAGCACAAAGTCGGACACTTTCAGCTCGGCAATTTCCTCCCGAGTTATCTAATTCAATCACCGCATCAGTGCAATGCGTCTTCTCCTTCCTACATCAGCAGTTGCCTTACATCCGGAACGAGTCGCTTCATGTCCTGAAGAGCACCGCTGCCCCGAAGCCGAGCTATATCCTCGGCTGAGCGCAGCATTGTCTCCACCTCATCACGAGCTTCCAGTGCCTTCTTCTCGGCCTGCAGTCACCAGAGTCATCGATTTGGACGAGGACATCGATGTCACAGAATAAAAAGGCAGGCATACAGCCACCATACCTGCTGCCACGTCTCGTTGGCCGGCTCGTATTCACGCAACTGCGGTGCGAGCTGCTTGAGCACCTCTACTAACGCCTCCAAGTTGGCCATTGTTCGGAATGAAAGTGTCTATGTGGAAATCCGATCGATGATTGGCCGAAATGATGATAACCACAAGAATTTCCAGAACACGCAGCTCCGGCTATAGTGGCGCCGGGTGTAAGAGGAGATCGGGTATTAGAGCGGTCTGATCCTCTGTCGGGCAAGGCAAAGTATCGCATTACAGGCAGAGGTTAATAGCATCGGCACTTTGGGCAATACTTATGATCCTGATACAGTTTAAAAAGCGGTGAAACCAATATCCGATGATACTGATACGCTGACGCTGGCGTATCAGTAACGTATCAATATCATATCAATAATGTGATATTCAGATGAGTCGCTACTTGCTGTCTACCTCAGTTTGCTTTTGCAAGCTCCGGTACTCTCTCCAGTTTGCTTTCATCAGGCAAAGCATCTCTGCCCGGTCCTCATCCAAACGGGTACGCAAATCGTTCACAACGTACCCACTTAAGCTAAAGAAGCGCTCCTGAATTGCAGTTGACAGAGGTTTAGCAAGATAGATCCTTGCTAGGACGGCAATTCCAGGAAACAGGAGTTGTTCAGACTCTTTAAACCATGCTAGTATATCCACGTTCCGATACAAGTCTAGTAAATTGTACTTGCCTGTTTGGGATGTTGAACACGGCCACGAGACATTCAAGTTCTTCCATTCGTTTCACGCGTTCATCGCTTGGGCGGATAGGTCAGCCTGGAAATCAGACATTTCCACGTTTTGAGCCGGGGCGTCGATCTCTAGTAAGGCACCCAGTGCAGTGTCAATGAGATCAGAGCTGCTTTGAGAAACCCCCGACGGCAAAGGCTCCTCACCCTTACACTCCTCGTCTGCTGCTTGCCTTGCAAACAATTTCTGATAAATGAGAGCATGCTCAAATTGAAGCTCGGTCTCGGCTTGTGCAAGAACTGATGAATCACTGACAATACTATGTGCTTTTCCTTTAATCCGCGGATCCAGAAGTAAAGCTTTTATGTCGTTGAGATCCTCAACTGGAAACCGAAGAGCGAGTTGCTCACGAAGACGGTCGCGACAACGTTTGCCATCCCAAGAAAACTCGGATATAGACTTTGGTGCTCGGCGTTGCGAATGCTCAGTTGCTTTTGGCCCAGGGCGATCGAGAACCAAACAATTAACTGTAGTGGATTCACCAGCAAAAACCAACATTTTGCGAAAAAGTAAGACGTACGAGCTTGCCACGCCCTGCTTTTGCACTTCGCCCAGACTAAACTGTGCGAGTTGGTTAGTCAGCCCTTCCATCTCGGTAATAAGCGTCCAATCATCCTTGGCAATGCTTGACCATACAGCCGTCTCACTGTCTAGCGCTCCTTCAAAGTACTGAGCAAAGGCATAGTGATTTAGTACACTGCGACGCATTAGCGTTACAGCGTATCCAGCTCGTGTCTTCGAATCAACTTCAATATTGACAGCTGGAAGGCTAAGGGCCTTCTTTATCTGCTTGAGTTTAGTGATTCTTTGAGGAGTGTTGAAAAACGTTGCCAAATCACGAAGCTTCTGAATAACTTTCAGACCTTTTCGGAACTCCCCTCCCGGTGTTATGATACTCTGACCACGATTTCGTGTGTTTTCTTTCAGACCGAGAGCATACAACAGACACAAACTTAATAAGTGCATTAAACAATCCACTTGATCCGTACTATTGAAATGGTCGGATACGTTTCGAGCGCTTCCCGTCGTATCACTTACTGTGAATCGAACGTACCGGTCCACATCAATGTTGTAGCGGTCTTGCATTCGCGCTTTAATAAGATCAGCAACAGTACCAGCAGCGTGGCCGTGCGGGTTTGGCATCGCCAAGAGCGAAAGTGTGACCAAGCGCCACTCTGAATCCACGAATACGACAGTCGCACCAATTATATTCATGTTCGATGCATTGGTCCACAGATCGTGCAACATCGTGATAAATGGCTGCTTTTTTGCTTTTGAAAACTCTCAGCTCAGTGTATCAGACACCAATTTGATAAGCAAGTGCCATTCTGCTTTAGCAAATTCGTAAAAAGTATCTCGAGCAGGGGTCAATAGCGCAGGTTGGTGCGCCAAACGCCGGAAAAGTTCCAATAGCTCAGGGTTTTGGAGTACCGTGTGAGGCAACCCAGAAGAAAGTAGCCATCTAGTCGACAAAATCTCTATTTGGTCAGCATTAATGGCAATTGCCTCGTGAATTGTGCGATGCTTCTTTTGGTTTGGCTGTTTTCCCTGTTCACCCGAAGCTCCACTATCATATGTCTGAATACGTTTAGCCACATCACTGGTCTTTCTCCGCTTAGTCTCCAATGTGAATGAGTGCTCCTTGTGAGCCCCCCACATGTGTTTTCTAGCGTTGGAAGATGTAGTTGGTCGCATTAGAAAGTTCCTCCACGTTGATGCGGTTGGGTCGGAGCTTTTGTGTTCATCACAGCAGACTATACAAATGTGCGTGTACGGTCTTGTGGGCTCTTTTGATCCTGGTATGGGCTGGGATGGCTTGTGGATGAATCTCCATACCGGATTGAGCATGTTCTGGCAACAATGCTTGACTACCCGAGGTATACCATGCTCGTCCACACCCTCTTCATCCGTCTGTGCCGTTGCTGAGGCAGTCTGCGTCGTTCCTGTGGGGTTTTCTGCCATCGTTTGCGGCGTCTTTGTTGTAAGCTGTCGGGGGTTGCAGATCTAAATACAAAACCAGAAACTGACTAGATACGTGAGTATAGTATCGTCAAAGATCAATATATTTGTGGAGAAGGATCAGTGATCTTGATCCCAATGATCGAGCGGTATCACGTGATACTGATACGAGTATCATGCGGATACGGTATCCATGGTATCAGGTATATCACCATTTGCTATTAACCCCTGATTACAGGAGAAATCCATCCCACGTGTCTCACTTGAGAGCCCCCCCCCCAATACCAAAACAATGGTTTCCTCGCGCGAACACCTCACTATCTATGAGAAAAACGAGCTCCGCCGTCATCACCTGGCCAGCCCGTGTCTTAAACACGTCGATCCCCAGCAGTGGGTCGCCGCACGCCTCGGGGAAAACACTGGCATTTCCACGGTGGGAAAAATCGTGAGCCAGCCTCTCGACTGCACTCCCAACGGCAACATAAAAAATAAAAATAAAGCGCAGCATGCATCAATCGGGACCGAGCTTCTAGCGCTTGTCCAACTCAAGAAGCACAAGGTCTCCTCTCTGACGATGTTCTTCAAGCAAAGGCAAATGCACTCGTCGGCAACGAGGTCATCTCGCTGTCTTGGATTCAGCGTTTTAAGGTTCGCCACAGGGATAATGCTGCATCGGATGCACGGTGAAGCAGGATATGTAGACACTGCGGAGCTTGAACAACAACGCACAGCATTGATGCAGCTGCTTGACCAATACAAACCACAATTATTTTTAATATGGATGAAACAGCTCTATTTTATCACATGTTACCCAGTGAAACGCTAGCGACGAGAGCAGTCGCAGGAAGAAAGAAGGACAAGGCAAGAATCACAGTTGGCTTGTGCTGTAATATTACTGGAACGGAAAAGATGAAGTCTATTGTGATCAATAGGGCGGCAAAACCTCGCTGCTTTAAGGGCGTCGACGTAAGAGCGATTCCTATGGACTATTTCTCGAATCAGAAAGCATGGATGACGGGAAAAGTGTTTTTAGAATCGGTGCGTTCCCTGAATCTAAAATTGCATGGTCGTAAAGTACTTTTACTGGTCGACAATGCATCTAGCCATGCAGATGTTGCGATGGACAATTCGAGTACACTATCTGCCTAGAAACACAACTTCGCATTTGCAGCCGATGGACGCGGGAATTATTTGCAATTTCAAGTTGAAGTACAAGGAATTATTCGTGCAGTGGGCTGTCGAGCAAAGTGAAGCTCAAAAGCGCTTGGACTTGCTCACAGCAATTAAATTTGTTGTAGACGCATGGGGTTCTGTGTCGGAGGTGACAATTCGCCACTGCTGGCGTCACACGAGGATTGTGTCGGGGAACATGAGCTCTAAAGTAGAGCAAGACGCCGAACATGTTACAGAATCGGATATTGGGGATTTAGATGTGTTAGAATCAAGATTAGAGCTGGAGGACCCTTTAAGTGCTGAACGCTACATCGCTATTAAAGATGCAGCCGAGACGAGTATGGATAGTAAGGAAAACATCGTCGGTTCATCGAGTGACAGCGCTTGCAGTTTGTCAGAGGATATACCTTTTTCGCACAGTGAAGCTCTGTCTGCTGCTTGAAAACTGCAGGTCTATATGTTTGCCCATGGTTTGCAGGATACCGGTGTTCAGAAGCTCGTAGATGAAAGCCGCAGATTGGCTATCAACTGCAAGCGACAGACTTCTATCACAGCTTTCTTTTATTAAGCTAAGTAGGTTCATATGATTAATAGTAGTTTTCTCTTATAAGTGTTAGAATTTATAAGAGATGTATCGGATGCAGGGTTCTGGAAAACCCCGAAACCTTAATATATCAGGGGTATTTATTAAATAGCATGGGTGGGTGTTATAATTGGATTTTTAGCACCTATCCCTTCACCAATTCTTTCAATTGGATGCAATTACTCCATTATTTGGGCGAACAGAATGATTGGGCAAGCCAATCATTCTGTTTTGCACGCAGCAGTAATTTTCGACTTCTTTGCGGACTCTCATTCTCCAAAACTCTCCCCTCTCCTCAAGACCTCTGAAGCCTAGCCTACGCAGCATGTCGCTACGGACCGGCGCGATTCCAGCTAGCTCGGGGAACCCTCCTGTCGTCATAGAGCAGAGGGATCTGACTGTTCGCCCCGGTACGCAGCCTGGAGCCATGTGGATGTGCAACCAGAGCGACGATTTTGTATATTGCTAAATCTATTAATAGAATGTAGTTACTAGTACTGAAATATTTGTTTTCTAAATCCTTACAAACTTCTAATATACTTCCTCTGTCCGAAAATATAAGCGGGGCATCTATTTAAACCGTGTCCGAAAATAAAAGCGGCATGCTTACAAATTCAAGTCATTTGATAGTACTGTCGAATTCCACCTAAGTACTCCCATACAAATGCTGTTGTTGCTGTCGGCCGCTGCAAACGAGACCGTAGAAATATTTAGGCACTCTACACGGCACCGCTCAACAGAGAATCTCACGTGCTACATCTCTACAGGTTTCTATGACATTTCGTGTAAAATTGACATCCTGGCGAAAGATTTTCAAATATCACATCTTCACCTCGAACTTTGCATAACGATAACTTTGCGACCAGGTGGCCGATTTGCTTCAAACGTCGACCAAAACAATTGCCGTAATCTAACCAGCAATTAAGACCAATCAGCTGCTCGTTTAAAGGTTTTCTGTTCTTAAAATTAATTTTGCCCCTTATTTTTTCGGACGGAGGAAGTATGAAATTACCAAAGTTGACACTCTTAATTCACAAACTTCACAGTAGTGATTTTGCTCTGCACAGCAGGGTGGGATGTGCAGGTCTATCGATGCAAACAGTGTTTGCGGATTGACCATTGCAGAATGCCGTGGCTTTACGCCCCCTATACCATACTAAGCGCCCAATCAACGACTGCAGTGCACTGTACAAAAGTACGTCGGAGTTTTGATGCGATCGTTCACAGTTCTTCGGCCCGTCGCCCCCTGTGCTGAAGCAAGGAAATTTAAGAGTGATACCTGATTGGACCTCGACCAAGTTCTGGAGCTCGAGGCAATATGCTATTTGATGGATGGACTAGAGATTGATAAATCTGGATTGATAGAGGAGAGGGATAGTGGGCGGGTGAATGACTGATGGGTGGACTAGAACATGATGGGTGGATGGTTTTTTTTAATAATCCTCAATAAACCCTTCCTGCAAACTCTCGGGGTGGGTGGGTGGTATAAACGTTTTTTTCCCGACCAATTTATCCCCAGTCCAGAACCCTGGTGGGATGGTTATATGGTGAAGATATCAGCAAGCTCTACCGTTCGTGTGGCACTTGTGGTGACAGACCGAAGAAGGTGTCAGTGTCCAATGTGTACATCGTAAACCCGGGCAACGCCGTCGTGACGGTGAACAAGAACTGGGGTGATGAGGCCACACTGAGTAACATCTAAGTCAAGTCCAGCGGAAAGAAGAAGGTGAAGATCTGTCAGTGGTCTCAGACGGCGAGCCATCCATGCTGGGTGATGGTCCGTCTCCGCCATGTGCCAGTACTCCGAGAGTGACGTGCATATCAACGACGACGTCTCTCAAGCTGCTGGTGGTTCGACAGGTTTTGACAAAAACTTTCGTTTCTACAGCTCCCAAATCGACAATTTTCGTAATTAAAAGTGGCTTTAGCACAAATCAAATTCCAAAACGCGTGAGGCCAGACAGAAAATCGTACACGGTAAATAGTCGTGGCACGCTAATTAGGGTGAACGGTGTACTTGCCAATCATGTATCAAATTGCAACTGATTTAATCATGCACGGTAAACGATTTCCGTGGTGGCACTGCTATTTTATTACTCGTAGAGCCATCCGCAGGAAGGAAGCCTTGCTTGCGCTGATATCTGTAGCTAGAACGCCGCCGACTGCCAGTGGACCGCCCTTACATATGATTGGCATTGACGGCAAGAAGGGTGAACATTGGAGCGTTGTGTATGTCGTTAAAAACTATGAG